TTTATTGTTATTTTTTAAAAAAAGGTTAACTTGGCCTTTAACCACTTGCCTACTGGGTACTTTTACCCCCTTCGTGCCCAGGCCAATTTTCAGCTTCCAGCGCTGTTGACAATTGCACAATCGTGCAACACTATACCCATATGAAATTTGTATCTTTTTTTTTCACACAAATAGAGCTTTCTTTTACTGGTATTTAATTACCACTAGGTGTTTTATTTTTTGTGCTATAAACCAAAAAAGAGCAATAATTTTAAAAAAAAAAGTTTTTCTTTGTTTCTTTAATAACATTTTGCAAACAGGCAATTTTTCTCCTTTACTGATGTGCGTTGATGAGGCTGCACTGATATGCAGCACTGATGGGCACTGATAGACTGCACTGATGAGGTGGCACTGATGAGGCAGCACTAGTGGGCATTGATGAGGTAGCACTGATGATGCTGCACTGATATGCAGCAATGATGGGTGACACTAACTGGCGGGTACTGACTGACAGCACTGACTGGCAGCACTGCTAGTCACTGATGGGTGCAACTGCTGGGCAGCACTGATGGGTGGCACTGCTGGGAGGCACTTATGGGTGGCACTGCTGGGAGGCACTTTTGGGTGTCACTGCTGGGCACTGGTTGGTGGTACTGCTGGGCAACACTGCAGGGCACTGATCATCAGTGCCCTGATGATGAGTGTCAATGTGCTTTGTGACAACTGCTGGTTATTGGCAGTGCTCTCCTCACGCTGTGACAGATTGAGAAATGTGCTGTCGATAACCGTCAACTGTATTTACTCCGTGATCTGCTGTGTCATTGGACATAGTTGATCACGTGGTAAAAGGCAGCTGTGATTGGACTTTTACCTCATCACATGATCAGCTGTGTCCGCAGAGGGGCGTGTTGTTCTGGGCGGACGTCACATGACGCCCTCCCAAAAAAAAAATACATGAATGGCATCATGTAAAAGAATTGGCTGGATAATTAGCGGGTTAGCGTGCAGCAAGGAAAATCTTCACTTGCATCAAGAGCCACAGGCATTGCTGCTAGCCATCCCCATCATGTTTCCAACATACCCTATGGCACTTGCCATTGACCCTCATGTCCCTACAGGACACAGTAATGAAATAGGGGTAACTTTAAGCAGATTTAACTAACACAAGGATGTTTTATATCTGCTTACACTTAAGCACAATGCTTACACTAATGCATACATCAGAACATTACCCCAAATAATGCTGGAAAAAAAAGTGATTCCAAAGGATTGTTAGCTACTGACATAGCTTTATTTTCATTATACCTTTGGGTTTTTTATTTTGGCAATGCGCAACTAATAACATTCACAGTGTGTAATGTAATTGGCACTAAATCTAATACTAACCATATTGTGGTGATGATTTTTTTGTAGACTTTTTATCTTTGTGGAAATACACAAATGTTATAAACAGAGCTTTAAAAATCAGATACTTGCATAGTGTATAAGCAAGGGCATATTAAACAGTGTATATATTTACCCTCTACAGACATATATTTGCGCAAGCCAAGCTTGGCACCGTGGAAGGTATTCATACACATGGTAGTTACATTTGTTTTTTTAGAGGCCAGACAGTGATGCAGTAATATGCCCCAATCAGCAGTGCAATGGTAAATACCATGAGGGTCATGCATGGTAAGTGCTGACACTCAAAAAGGGGTTCATCCTTTCTGTTATTCTTTCTGCTTATGAGAATCATGAATGTAAGCATTGACTGTGGTATGCATACACATTTCAGTGTTTTGTGCAGAGTGTGTCCCTGAAGGTAAACTGCAAGAAAAATTAGCTAAATGTCATGCAATAGGAAGGTCTGTATTATGTCATAAAACTCCAGAAGACTGACCAGTTGTAGCGCCGTTTGCTTGAATTTTTTAAATGCTGTATTATATACTGTATGCACTGAGATGTAAGGAAAGTAAAAAAAAAAAAAAGAAAAAAGATGCCCAAAACAGTTGCTTTATTTTTGTTAATGCAGGTAAAAATAAAAGACAGAAAATAACTTTTCTACTTTTTCCTCAAATGTCATACTTTAGTCCCTATTCATAGTAACAAAAATGTTTTTGAAGTACAAAGAAAAGGCAGACATGGTTGAGTAACAATAGCAACCCATTTGTCTATAAATACAAAATTTGAAAGAAAATGCTTTTAGCCCTTAAGAATATGATTGTACTAACTGTAGTCAAATGAGTATCAACATTCAGAAAATAAACTTCCTGAACGCTGACATGGGTATTGAAAATGCCTCTGTGAGGAGACAGAATCAGTTGGTCCAGCTTGAAAAATGATCAACTGGCAGTAACCGAGCACAATTGTTAGTGTGTCTCAACTCTCTAGCCCCATCAGGTCCAAACAGCAGGAAAAGCCAATGGGCTAATTTACTAAAACCAGAGAATGCTAAATCTGGTGCAGGTCTGCATAGAAACGTCCAGGTTTTTTTGTCAAAGTTTATGTGAACAAGATGAAGTGAGAAGTGGACTATCATGCACAGCTGCACCAGATTTTGCACTCTCCAGTTTTAAGAAATCAACCCCACTATGTGGGTTAAGGGGTAAGAGCCCTGTAAGATCTGGCAATATGGCTTTATCATTTTATTTTAGGTTATATCTCTTCCACTTGCATTACTACACATTGTGAGTACACTATGGTTATATACACTTTATGTGCTTTTCTTCAATAGAAGATGAACATGATTCATCATGCTGTAATATCACATACCACACGCTCAAAGTGACAAAGCAAGTATTATTATGTTTTAATACTTGATAATATGAAAGTAGGAGAAGAGAGTTTCAGAATTTTTTAAGTGTTAATCCATTTTTGCAGCTGAATTGGGATAACACCTACTTTATATTTGTTATATGTCCTCATTCACATAGGATAAATTAAAAAGAATTAAAGATTTGCAACACTGTAAAATCCTACTAGTTCTCTTTTCATGAGGAGGTTGGTGAGTTTGCCATATTTAATCTTGTCTGCATTGTGCAGGCAATTCATGATTATCATTTGTAAACTAGATTTGAACAGTCTGTTCTAAAAAAACAATTAAAAAAGTTTAGTAGCTTCTTGAATTGTATGTTAATGAGAGAAGACTGAATCTGTTCTTAGGACAGCCTCACTCTGAGCTAAGAAATCCTTGCAGTCAGCCATGAGGCAGCACTGATGATAAAACTATGCTTTAACACTATTTAGTTCTTTCATATTACATGAATACTGCCCAACCTCAGAAATGCTAAGAAACAAAAAAGATTGAATAGTAAAAAAAAACTTTATTCATTGAAATTTAATGCATGACTAGGTTTCAAACTCCAGCTCCAATAAATTTGGGAATTGCAGGCTTCATCTTTTCGCTGCTGGTAATTGAGGGGGATCCCTGATGAGGAGCAGTTAAAACAAATCAAATAATTTCATAAAGGTGATCCTTCTAATATTCTAAAACAAAGTCCACACTGACCCTGTAGATGTTGGCACTCATGAGCAATTCATACTACAAACTCACAGCAGAAACACTAAAGTTGTTCTCTCCCAGCAGCTAAGGTTAACCTGCTCTCCCTTCCCAGAAAACCTGCTCTGTTTTTACGTTATAGATTAGAAAGTTGTAAGGTTGTTTAATCATTGATTGGAAAGGGAGCAGGGGAACTGCTGAAAGATCTAGAAAAATATAAAAGCGGATACCTGATGACATACCTTTACCTGATAGTGTATAAAGGTGTGGAAAGGCAAGATTGACCATCCATGTGCAGCACAGCAATAATGGTAAAGTCAGCCAGCCTTATATTGTCTAAGTAGGGATCAAAAGATGACCAATCTTGCCCAGAGAGGATTGGAGTGCAGCCAGTTAGGAGCCCACACAGTTTGGGACTACATGAGAGACCAATTCCAGCATACCAGCACACCAACCGCAGACGCGGTGCATGGCGTGACCCCATCCCTAGAGGTTGGATGATGTCATGCGTCATGCTGGCACATGAAGAGCAGTGCTGCCAGCCCAGAAGCAAAGCAAGGTCCGGACTTCACAAAGGGTTCAAGCCTCAACTTGGGACAGAGCATAGGCAGCGGAACCCAGAAAGAGGGCTCCTAACTGGCTGCACTCCAATCCTCCCTGGGCCGGATTGGTAATCTTTTGATCCCTACTTAGACTATATAAGGCTGGCTGACTTTACCATCATTGCTGTGCTGCACGTGGACACATCATCCTGCCTTTCCACACCCTTATACACGATCAGGAAATGGCATGTCATCAGCTATCATCTTATATAGTAGCAACTTATCCTAATTACTGCCGCTCTACTAGATGTGTATATCCCTGTTTCAGATTACATGGCCCTGGTTTGGTGAGCAACATCGTAGCCATCTTTCTTCCTACCATCGTATATATTTGGAGCCTTTCCATCTAGGACCATTGTAGTCACTTCATAGCAAGTCTCGATCTATTGACTGCCCCTTGGGTTATATATATATATGTATATATATACATATATATATATATACATATTTTTCGCTCCATAAGACGCACTTTTTTCCCCCAAAAAAAGGGGGGAAAATGTCAGTGCGTCTTATGGAGCAAACATGGAGCGGCCGGTCCGGTATTTCCGCCGCCACCATGTCAGAATACCAGGCTGGCCACTCAGCTCTTCTCTCCTGCAGGGCCTTACCTGTTCCTCTGTCCAGTGCTGTCCAGTCTTCCCACGCCGGCTTCTGTGACAGTCGGGTGCCCACTGCGCATGCGCGAGAAGCGCTGCGCTTTGTGAATGGTCCGGCGACTTCTGGGACATATGACAGGTCCCAGAAAATGCCGGCCATTCACAAAGCGCAGTGCTTCTCGCGCATGCGCAGTGGGCACCCGGCTGTCACAGAAGCCAGCGTGGGTAGAAGCAAGCGTGCCCACACTAAAGAAAGGAAAACTTCAGGTACCCGCTCCCCCTCCCTCCCCAAAGGTCTGCAGTCCCTTGGTCCCCCAAAGGTCTGCAGTCTCTTGGTCACCCCTGTACTGTCTGCAGTCTCTGGTCATCCCCTGTACTGTCTGCAGTCTCCATCTGTACTATGTCTGCAGTCTCTGGTCATCTGTACTATGACCACAGTCTCTGGTCATCCCCTGTACCGTGTCCACAGTCTCTGGTCCGCTGTGTCCGCAGCCTCTGGTCATCTCCTGTACTGTGTCCGCAGTCTCTGGTCATCTCCTGTACTGTGTCCACAGTCTCTGGTCATCTCCTGTACTGTGTCCGCAGCCTCTGGTCATCTCCTGTACTGTGTCCGCAGTCTCTGGTCATCTCCTGTACTGTGTCTGCAGTCCATTGGTTCAGAATGTTTTTTTTCTTGTTTTTCACCTCTAAAACCTAGGTGCGCCTTATGGTCAGGTGCGTCTTATGGAGCGAAAAATACGGTATATATACACACGTACACACACACATATATATATATATATACACAAGTTCCACAGCAAACTACTCCTTTTTAATGTAAGTTACTTTTAATATCATTAGACATAATTAAGTCCCAGTTGGCTGATTCATATATATTTACACTCAGATACTAATAAATTCCACAGTATGGATGAGATTCCTATTCTTGGCTCCTTATGGTGACCCCAGTGGCAATTGTGGACAGCGGTGTACCCAGACAACATCAGTTCTCAGCACTTCTGCATTACATCCTGTTTTTATTTCAAAATACCTATGTGGTTATATCAAATAAGTTTGGATCCATTGGTCAGTATTTTTTAATATTTTTTATGTCTATGTATGGCATGTTTGTTTAATTCATTATAAAGATGTTAATGTGTATTGTTCTTACATTTTGGAATATATCCATAGTCATGTATTGCATCCCTGAAGAAGAGAAGTTCTAATTTTGAAATGCGTTGGTTGTATGACTATCAAACTGATGATGTGCAGTATTCTGCATGTAATCTTTTGTAACCACACTTGCTAAATATAACTTTTATTTTAATCAATTGTGTGCCAATAAATTATTGTGTGTGTGTTTTTTTAATGGTTTTGTCTTTGATATCTTGGGTCATTGATCAGTGCTGCCCTTTAAAGTCCCACCTCTAGGGGGAAACATTTTTCTTATATGCATCACTGCATTTCCTTTTCCATTCATTTGTAGAACATTTAATCTTCATATGACATAATTTAAAGAAACCTTACAAGTAAAAATAAATACATATATACAGTACATAATAAAGACAATGTAGTCTTATTTAACTCTTTATTTAACCTTAGTTAACCCTAATCAAGTGTTTGAGATGTTTCATTGTATTTACTATTTTATTCATATGTGGATCAAAGCTCTGACATTTGATCTGCATATGCATCATTTAAAAAAAACCTTAAAAGTAAAAATAAATAATCAGGAATTGAACTCTTTATTAAATCTTAGTTAACCCTAATTAGCTCTGATTAACCTCCCCTTTCCCCTTAGCTATTATATTTTTGCTGATTTTGTTTCTATTTTTTTTTACTGTTAATATTTTTTTAATTTGTCTTTGTTATTTGCATAAAAAGAAAAAATGTGCAAAAAAAACATTTCTTTTTATTTGTAAATAACCTTGCAATGCTTTGTACCAAAAGCATATTTTTAGTGTAATTTTAAATGCAACAAAATATAAAACAAAATATATACTTTTTATAGTACACATTGTTTTTTTAAACAAACACTGCCTCAAGTAAGAAAAATTATTTTTTTATTTTTTACGTATTTTTTCTATAGAATATATGGAAAATAAAATAATTTCTGCAGAGAGTTATTGTCCAAAAACAATGTATGTTTTACTTTGTTATCTAAAGTTATTAATGATTAAGTTATCACCAAAGAAACAGGTCCATAGCAGAAATGTGAAAAATGTTCTTGTTCAAAACATGTATACAGATATGGAAGTTTAATTGAATAACAGTGAATTTCTCTGCAGTAGCTGCAGCTACAAGGGTTAGTAGCTTGTATTATAGCTCGTTTGCATCTTAATTTGAATATGTAAAGTCCATAGCCTGACCACAGTTCTACTTTAAAATTAATTGTAGATGTTGATGTGGTATTGCTTACTTTGGCATACATTTGCAGCTAAAAATAAAATTCTAAAGAGAAAAATGTTTGTACATTATACTTCAGCTTTCAATTTTCATACATCAAATTCATATTGTGATATGATTTTCTTGTTTGCCAAGACAACACTTGTGTCTGACATATGGAGAAAATATCCTTCAGTCATAATGTATCAAAGTGAAGTCATTCTCAGCATTAGTGAAGATTTAGGGAAATGTGCAGTAATGTCATCCAAGATGACTAGAGTAATGGTACCAGAGAGACATAGAAATACACAGTGGTGTTTAGATTTGAAAATGTTCTTTAACCCAGACAAGAGCAAAGTGAGATTTTCTGTCTCAAGAGGAGTTTAATCTGCAAAATAATTGAGAGTGTCGAAGGATGAGCAAGTACAATTGGCAAGAAGTACAGTCCACCAGTTAGCTGATTATCACAATGGTCAAAATTTGTATTTACAGTTTAATCTGTAGTTCTCTCAATATTCACAGACATAGAAGATCTTCTCTTGTTTTTTACTACATTATGCACACAGACATTCAGTGGTGCTAAATCGCAAGCCTTTGGCAGCTTTGAAAAGTGTTAATTAATTAGAACATCTTTTACGGCAATATTTCAGACCTACATGACAGATGTATCTCTGATAGTCTTTTGGCAGGCTCTGCTATAGGCAAATAATGTGACAGGTGCATCCCTGTGCTACGTGTCTGGGAGAAAAACACATGAGGAATCGGATGTCCTGAAGATCTCATTCCAACAGGCTCTTAAATGAGACTCTGTTTTACACAGAGGGAGAAAACATATTCTGGCGTATTTCATAAAGCAATGTAAAAGGAAATGATAACATGCAACACACAGCAAGCAGTCATCATATTGTGCTGATCTAATTACATTAGCACAAAATCTAATTGTCTGATATTGGGAAATGTATCTTTAGCTGTATTTTTTAAACTTTTGATGAATTCAAGTAACATAAAACATGTCATCAGGTCTGTAAAGATGATGGGGTAAATTTACTGGTACACTCAGACTCTGGTGCAGCTGTGCATGATAGCTGTGACAGACTGCCTGGCACCCCGCCTGGGCGCTTTCATTAGAGAACTGGTAACTCGCAGCTGGGACACAGGACCAAGGTATTATAGCTGGGCATTACACCCAAGAACTAGATGGCACTACCTTAGATACAACTGGAACTCAACTTTAATGAACAGAAGTACAGGTTTTTATACACTTCCAAAATCGGGGCCGTCCCCACATGAGCAATGAAAACAAATATTACACATTGTGATAAATATTCCACAATGATTATGTAACAAGGTCAAGTTGAAAAAAGACTAATCCCATCATGAGGGAACCTCCAGGAGAATTAGCCAACAGACAAAAACAATAGGTGATTGAATTAACTCAATTAACAATGGGAAAAAGACACAACAGTAAACACATCACAACTTACTAAACAGATTACAGCAAGAGACCTCAGCATCAGGCTGTTTTGAGCTGATTATATTAACATTTGAAGTCAATGCTGGTTTGGGCACAGAGACTCCAAATCTGTGTCTATGTCCTCTAGTTTTCAGTGTTTTTGTGTTTCAGGGAGACATGGACTTGAATCCAAAGTAAAACTACTCCAAAGGTCCCCCCAGGCACACACCTCCCAAAAAATAGAGCCCCCTCAGATGCCAGGGCCCATGGTCAGTAGGCAAAAAGCTAGCCTGCAGTCTGCTCCAAAAGCCCCTGTCCTATTTAGGTCTGTCACAGTACCTAATTAGCATCTAACTTCTGCTTGTTCAAATAAGCTTTGGCAATGAAACCCAGATGCTTATTGTTTTACTGTATATGCAGAATTTGCACTCACCATTTTTAGAAAAAATCCTCTGATATGTACAAACAGTATAATTACATATCATACAAGAACAAAAACAGAGAAAATATTGATGTGGGATCAACCTTCTCCCTGATTCTCAAAAATATAAATAATTTAGATCTATACTGGATGCTGGATTATACTAGTTTGGGGATTATGCACAACCCCCGTTTTCATGAAATAATCACATAAAATCTGTTTTGGGACTATATTTAATGTTTATGTCTACACTGGATAATGGACTACATTTGTTGAAGGACTATGTACAACCCCTGTTTGCATATGTTAACTACACTGGAAGCCTTTAATGGAGGATATTGTTGACTCTTTGGCTGTTTACGCTTATAAGTGTCATTCTTCTCTGACCATGAGTGGACTTCCCCTAAGGATATTCCCAAAGTTGCATTCTGAGTACATATATGAATTTCTGTTGAAAGGGAGGTAGTCAAGTGCCATGAAGAGATGAAGAGAGTTTGGTTCTAAAGGACTCTATACAACATAATAATCCCACACTGTATAAACTGTCTGTGCGAGGGGAACAATTGGACTACTCGGAATCACTTATAATCAACATTCTTATACTATACAAGTTGCTGTCTGTGGGAGAGAAATAAGTGGATATTCTGTTAAACTACAACTCACATATACAACTTTTTGTCCTCTCAGGACCACAGATCTCATGGGAGAAGGATGCAGTCTAAAAGTCTTGGATTTACAAGTTAATTAATTTATACCTGAAGTTTAAATTGCCTTTGAAAAATCAGACCCCGGTGATGACCTTGAGCAGTAGGATATAAATAACTCATATATATTCAGACTGAATTCCAGGAGGGCTCAATGAAGAATGTACCACATCAGGCAGTTGAAACCAGCAAAATAGAGTGACACAGCCAATCTGTAGATGCTATAGTTCTGTTATCCAGGAAAGCAGAATACTCCAAACATGGAGAAAAGGTGGGTTTAACCTGTGGTCCATCAGAGAGAAAAATGTCCATATATGAAATTTAACAGGGACCACCAAAGCAACATAGAAATAGTTGGTGCAGCATCATCCAGTCTCCAGGTGAGTTTAACCTTTTAGTAGTAGTGCACAGATGTCTGCATGCAGACTAATAAACAGGAACCACTGAGACCTTTTATGCATGGTTTAGATGCATAGTTTACATGTATGGCTCCTATAGTTGGTGCTAATTGGTGGCATCCAAGTGGATTTAAGCTGACATTGGTACTGCACAGATGTAACACAAAGGCTTCTACAGGAACCACCAAGACCTTATAGGCATGGCTTTGATGTTCCCCAGATACTTAGGAGCCAATCAAGTAGGTAACTGGAGTAAAGGCAGATACGAGATAGTCCATTCACTCTAACAGAAATTCAAAAAATAAAAGC